GGGTCTCACCGGGTGTCCCTGAGGATGCACAGCACGTGCCTGTCAGGGGCTGTTTTGGGTGATTTTTGGGGCTATTTTGGGGGCTGTTTTGAAATATTTTTGGGGATGTTTTAAGGACATTTTGGGGATGTTTTTGGGGGTGTTTTGGGGTCTCACCGGGTGTCCCTGAGGATGTACAGCACGTGCCTGTCGGGGGCTGTTTTGGGGTGATTTTGGGGATGTTTTTGGGGATATTTCGGGGATATTTTAAGGACATTTAGGGGATATTTTGGGGATGTTTTGGGGATGTTTTTGGGATGTTTTTGGGGATGTTTTGGGGTCTCACCGGGTGTCCCTGAGGATGTACAGCACGTGCCTGTCGGGGGCTGTTTTGGGGTGATTTTGGGGATGTTTTTGGGGATATTTCGAGGATATTTTAAGGACATTTAGGGGATATTTTGGGGATGTTTTTGGGCATATTTGGGGATGTTTTGGGGTCTCACCGGGTGTCCCTGAGGATGTACAGCACGTGCCTGTCAGGGGCTGTTTTGGGTGATTTTTGGGGCTATTTTGGGGGCTGTTTTGAAATATTTTTGGGGATGTTTTAAGGACATTTTGGGGATGTTTTTGGGGGTGTTTTGGGTAAGGACATTTTGGGGATGTTTTGGGGATGTTTTTGGGGATGTTTTAGGGACATTTTGGGGATGTTTTGGGGTCTCACCGGGTGTCCCTGAGGATGTACAGCACGTGCCTGTCGGGGGCTGTTTTGGGGGGATTTTGGGGATGTTTTGGGGTCTCACCGGGTGTCCCTGAGGATGTACAGCACGTGCCTGTCGGGGGCTGTTTTGGGGGGATTTTGGGGATGTTTTGGGGTCTCACCGGGTGTCCCTGAGGATGTACAGCACGTGCCTGTCGGGGGCTGTTTTGGGGGGATTTTGGGGATGTTTTGGGGTCTCACCGGGTGTCCCTGAGGATGTACAGCACGTGCCTGTTGCTCTCCATTCGCGCCGCGCTGGTCACGGGGGTGGAGAGGCCCTGGGCCTGCCTGGGGGCGCACGGGACCCCCCATGACCCCCCAGATTCCCTCTGCGACCCCCAAATTCCCCTTGGGACCACCCAAAATTGCCCTTGAGACCCCCCAGATTCCCTCTGGACCCCCCAGTTCCCCCCTCAGACCCCCCTCTGACCTCCCATTGTTCCCAGTGACCCCCCAGGACCCCCCAAACTCCGCCCGCCGGGCCCGGCCCGGCCGCCACCGCCACGGCCGCGCCCGGGCGGCAAAGAAACCACGCCCCCCACCGGGAGGAATCAGCCAATCGCGGCACGGCCCGCCAAGCGCCGGCCAATCGGTGCGCTCCGTTCTGCCGTGCTGAACAACGGAGTCCCGCCCTTAGCAACCGTCAGCCAATCGTTGCTGCGGCCGCACCCCTCTGTAGCAACCAAGTCCCGCCCTTAGCAACCGTCAGCCAATTGATGCTCACAATTTGACAGCGCTTAGCAACTGAGTTCCTCCCATAGCAACCGTTCACCAATGGCAGCCGCCCTCAGCACTCAAACCCCACCCATAGCAACCGCCGCCAAATCGCTTCCGCTGTCAGACATCGAGCCCCGCCCCTAGCAACCCCTCAACCAATCGTTTATTTTCTCCTGGACTAAGCTCCACCCCTGGCACCTGCTCGCCCAATCGCCGCCGCCCCTTCTCCCGCCCTTAGCAACCAAGCCCTGCCCTCCTTAGCAACCCGCTTTTCGCGCCACAGCAAAGCATGAAGGGAAGAATCCCCCCCTAATCGCTTCCGCTGTCAGACATCGAGCCCCGCCCCTAGCAACCCCTCAACCAATCGTTTATTTTCTCCTGGACTAAGCTCCACCCCTGGCACCTGCTCGCCCAATCGCCGCCGCCCCTTCTCCCGCCCTTAGCAACCAAGCCCTGCCCTCCTTAGCAACCCGCTTTTCGCGCCATAGCAAAGCATGAAGGGAAGCATCCCCCCCTCCTTCCCGCAAAGCATTGTGGGATATACTCCCCCACAGCGCGCCGCCATTTTTCAGCCCCGCCCGCCATTTTGCCCTGGTGCCTCAGCTTCCCTGACAAGAAAAACGCCACTTTTAGGGGATTTGAAACATTTTTATTTCCCCGACGGGCTTGGGGGCGTATCCGGGTAATCCTCCTTGAGGAACCCCCGGTACAAACGGCGCATCCGAGCCACCTCGGTGGCAGGGGGCTGCTGCCACTCGTACCAGGGGTACCAGGCCCGGCCCGGCCCCCTCAGCGCGGGCGCCGGGGGAGTTTTGCCCACAGCCGCGTGTTGGTTGGAGAAATCCTCCTCAGGAACCGGCACAAAGGGGACTTGCAGCCACAGGAGACCTGGAGAAGGAGAATTGAGGGGTTTGGGGGGCACCCGGCAGGGTTGGGAAGGGTTAAAAATCGGGGCTGGGGGTTTACCGTGGTCCTGGGCCTGGGCAATGGCCTGGGAGAGGCGTCTGTGCTGCTTCATGCAGATCCCTGAGGGGAAAAAGGGGTCAGGGACACGCAGAGGTGGCATCAGGGACAGAAAGGTGACCTCAAGGACATAAAGGTGACACTCAGGTGTGCCCTCACCTGTGTGGATGGGGTGGAAGATGACGCCGGAGTGGGGGCAGATGAACTGGTCTAGCAGCTTCACGTTCTGCAGGGTGGGAAAACGGGGTAAAAAAGAGATAAAATGGATAAAAATGAGTGAAAAGAGAGTAAAAATGGAATTAAAAAGGGGGAAACTAAAGGGAAAGACTATAAAGAAAACTGGAAGGGAGTAACAAAGATGGAAAAGGGGAGTAGAAGGAAAAGATGGAATGGGGGGGGCCAATGTAGCCCCCCAAATTTGCCCCCCAGAAGTTCCCAAACTCACCCGAAAATCCACGAGCAGGTTCCGGTCCCGGCAGATGGGGCAGGGGTTCCCCACGGGCCTCCCCCGGCGCTGGGAACGGGAGTGGGGCAGTTCCAGTCAGTCCCAGTAAGCCCTAAAATGTCCCAGTGCCTCCCAGTGACCCCCAAACTGTCCCAGTGTCCCCAAAAGTGCCACGGAGAGGCCTCAGTCGTCCCCAAGCTGTCCCAGTGCCCCCCAAAATGGCACCTGAGGTGCCTCAAGAGCCCCCAGAATGCCCTCAGAGCCCTCTCAGTGCTCACCAGGCAGGCCTTGCGGGTGCTCTGGGGGGGCACGGAGCCCTTGTGGTTGCGCCGGTAGCCGTGCCACACCGGCCTGTCCCCGTAGGTGGCCCGGTACTCTGCGCGGGGACATTTTTGGGGGGTTTTTGAGGGGTTTGGGGACCCCAAAATTCCCAAAAACTCCCCTGAGGCCCCCACACAAACCAACCTTCGCTCTCCAGGTACTCCCAGGGCCGCTCCTGGTAGGGGGAGGGGGCGGCCGGGGGGTCCTTGGGGGTCTCCTGGGTGCTGCAGAGGCGGGGGAGGGCCTGGGGAAGGGGGTTATGATGTCATAGTTGCTGTCAGAGTGATGACATCACACATGGGCTCACCCCTCCCTTCCCTCTCATTGCCCAACTTTTGGCAGAGACGTCAGCGACACCCGCTGTGACGTCACGGTGCCCATCCTTAAAAACGGGCACTGGCGCGATGTGACGTCACCGCAATGCGGACGATGACGTCACGCCTCACGAAAAACCACGCACCCGCACCCGCGCGCCCCCTAGCGGGGAACCACAAACTTGACGTCACCCGCCCCGCCCCGCCGCCGCACGTGGCGCGCGCTGCCCTTTCCCCCTCACGTCCCGATTTTCTCCCCCCTCCCCCAAATTCCCGGTGTCCCCTCCCGCCGCTCCTCGCCCTCACCTGAGCCCACCGCGGCCTCCTCACGCCGCCCGCCGCCCTCAGCGCCGCCGCCGCCCAGGCCAGCGCCATCTTCCCGCCTCTCCCTCACGCCCCGCCCCGCCCCTCTCCCTCGCGACGGGGCGGGGCGCCGCCATCTTGCCGCGCGGTCACGCCCCTCACCCTCAGGCGGCCGCGCATGCGCAACGCACTCCCCCCGCCCTCCCCGAATTAAAACTGCGCCACACGGCCCGCGGACAATGGCGGGCGTCGGCTGCGCGTGCGCGATACAGAACCCGCGCAGGCGCCGTTGGGCGGCTCAACGGGCGGGAGGCGTGACCGGCGAGCGGTAGGAGGCGTGGCGAAGCGCGGGGCGTGGCCGGATATAAAAAGCCGCGCCCGGTGGTGCCGCCGCCATTCTGAGGGCTGGTGGAGGTGAGTAAAGAACTGTGCTGGGCCGGGGCTTTGCGGGCGGGGCAGCGGGCGCGGGGGAGGTTTT